GTTTTTTTTCATCCTTATACGCAATTAATATACGTATGTAGTTTCAGTCTATATACGCAATTTGTAACTAATCTATGTCCATTTCGTATACGTATCTATGTACTTAGAGAAATTAATTTAGTTTCATTATATGTCCATATCTTATCTATATATTATAGATATATATAATTAAAGTATTAATTTCTTTTCATTCTTATACGCAATTTGTACCTAATCTATGTCCATTTCGTATACGTATCTATGTACTAAGAGAAATTTGTTTTATATAAAATGGCTGACGTGACAGGGTGCTTTTTAATTGTTTATATCATGTTTTAAATATTTTTAACGTTAAAATATATACAGGTGCATTTTATAAAGAACAACATTACTTAATTAAGGTAAAGAAATGAAAACGATAATATACAGTATATTCCGGATATTAGTATGTCCGTTGTAGGATTCGGTGATGAATATACAGGTTCGTTCTTCACCTTCCGGCACGTAATTATATCTTGATTCAAGAGAAAGATTTTTTTTAACTTTTAACATGATATTTATGACTTAAAGACAAAAATATTCTTTTAGGGCGAAACAACCTGGGGCGAACGGGATTTGGGTGAAACAACCCTTAGGGCGAATGGGATTTGGGGCGAAACAACCCGTTACCTTCATATATATGCATAAAATGATTTAAGCAGTATCCTTTTATGAAAATAGCATAATAACTATAGAGATTGACGACCTTTTAAATTATTAGCACATGCACATGGTTTGCTCCCAACTGTGTATTAGTGGTTTAAAGTTTATAATACTTTGTCTTAAAGACATAATCACCATTAAAGATCCTTTATTGTGAAAACAAAAAACAAAGGCTTACAATCAATTTTATACATTTAAGCAAGCAATGTGCACATAATTGAACAAATAAAAGGGTGGTATTTACATGACGTCTTTGCAAAGATTCTAAAATGCAGACATGAAGAGGTGAGTTTTGATGTTCCTCTTGAACTTGGCCAGGGTATTTGACTTTCTAATAGCAGATGGTAAGCTATTATACAACATAGCTGAAACCCTTCCAAAGCATCTGTTTCCGTAGGTCACAGTACAGGATTTTGGGACACACAACAAAGATTCTGACTCTGACCGCAGTGATCGTGACGGCTGATACAGGGTAACAAGCTCCTGTAGGTACTGAGGAGCTGTTCCATTCAGTGCCTTGTATGTGTACACCAGAATTTTGTACTGCGACCAGTATCGTACAGGTAACCAGTGCAACGAATGCAACGATTCAGTTCAGTGACACATTAATTGATGCTGGGGTGTGTTATCATTTAGCGTTGGCTATCTATGTAACACCACATTTTTAAACCATTTAAGGGATAAGGTAGTGTAAAACACTACTATAGAGTCAAAGTCACTGTTTTGAAATAGAATTGTGCCTGAAGCTGTCATTTCTTGACAAAGGGACATCCACAGTATCCAAATTTCCAGGGGGTAGGGGTTCCATGTGGGGAAAAACTGAAGAAAATGGTGAAAATACATGATTTTTAAAGAAAATTATCAGGGTGAGGGGGTTTCCTGAAGCCCAAAATAACCCTCTGGATCCGCCACTGATGTACATCGGTATATGTACCTGACATGTAAACCTCTATAACAAAAAATTCAAAATCAGACTAACTAATAGTTTTTTCTTAATTTTCCTATAAGAACTGGCTGGCATTTTGGGATTAACAAACTTAAATGAATGCACATCTTTAGCTTGATCGCGCTTTACCTTTTATCTAGATAAACATGTACTGTATATAGTGCCATATATAAGATTTTTCTGGAATTTTTGTCTTTTCTTGACTTGTTTGTTTAAAACAAAGAAGCAAATTACTCTATAGAAACCTTTCATAAGAAGTATAAAATTATAATAAAAATTTCCTCGTCATTTACCCACATCCCATAACAGATACTGACCCCCCATCCCGACACTACAACATTGATATCAAATGTGATGAGAATTTAACTATGATAAAGTGTACTTATAAACTTTTTTTCTCAGAAATAGTACAGCTATTTATAGATTTTCTATACTCACTAGGGATTGTGTACAATTTCTTTTTGTACATGTATATGTTCAACTGGGGGGTGGAGACCCAACGTCCCTGTCAGGAAGTCAGTGTTCCATAGTGGCGGTAGGGATCCTGGGGTGGATACCTAACAACTGGGGGGTGGAGTCCCACCGTCCCTGTCAGCAAGTCAGTGTTCCATAGTGGCGGAAGGGAGCCTGGGGTGGATAACTAACAACTGGGGGGTGGAGACCCAACCTCCCTGTCAGCAAGTCAGTGGTCCATAGTGGCGGAAGGGATCCTGGGGTGGATCCCTAACAACTGGGGGGTGGAGACCCAACCTCCCTGTCAGCAAGTCAGTGGTCCATAGTGGCGGAAGGGATCCTGGGGTGGATACCTAACAACGCGGGGGTAGAGACCTAACCTCCCTGTCAGGAAGTCAGTGTTCCATAGTGGCGGTAGGGATCCTGGGGGGGATACCTAACAACTGGGGGGTGGGGACCCACCGTCCCTGTCAGCAAGTCAGTGTTCCATAGTGGCGGAAGGGATCCTGGGGTGGATACCTAACAACTGGGGGGTGGAGACCCAATGTCCCTGTCAGCAAGTCAGTGTTCCATAGTGGCGGAAGGGATCCTGGGGTGGATACCTAACAACTGGGGGGTGGAGACCCAACGTCCCTGTCAGCAAGTCAGTGTTCCATAGTGGCGGAAGGGATCCTGGGGTGGATACCTAACAACTGGGGGGTGGAGACCCAACGTCCCTGTCAGCAAGTCAGTGTTCCATAGTGGCGGAAGGGATCCTGGGGTGGATACCTAACAACTGGGGGGTGGAGACCCAACGTCCCTGTCAGCAAGTCAGTGTTCCATAGTGGCGGAAGGGATCCTGGGGTGGATACCTAACAACTGGGGGGTGGAGACCCAACGTCCCTGTCAGCAAGTCAGTGTTCCATAGTGGCGGAAGGGATCCTGGGGTGGATACCTAACAACTGGGGGGTGGAGAACCAACGTCCCTGTCAGCAAGTCAGTGTTCCATAGTGGCGGAAGGGATCCTGGGGTGGATACCTTAATGGTATTCAACAGTGCTCATCAGGGAAAGCAGAGCAAATGAAAGTAGAAATGATGAGCAACAACACCACTGAATCCGGTACAAAATGTAATGTTTGATTTACATCCATTGTTGTAAGGATGTTAATCAAACATTACATTTTGTACCGGATTCAGTGGTGTTGTTGCTCATCATTTCTACATTCATGTATATGTTCAGTTGAAATTTTAAGTAATAACAATAATAAAAAAATATGACTCGATATTATGAAATATTCAGTTGATTGATTCTTTCCTTTCTCTTTCAATTTTCATATCACAAAGGAACCCATTTCATTATAAACAATTATTGAAATATGTACTTCAGTCGTTTAAAGTTTGGTAAACACTGTAGTGCACTGGAGTTCACGTCGTTGTGCACTGGAGTTAACACTGAAGTGAACTGGAGTGCACTTGAGTGACTTCAATGTTATGTCAAGTTCACTTACTTGTTGACTACGTGTGCACTACGAAGTGCACTAGAAACCAAGTTAAGTTTGCTCCCAGCTGTAGCTTACTGATACATTATTTTGTTTTCAGGAACATCAACAGTGTTATTCAAAGCTTGTTGTGTTCTTGAAATAAGAAACAACAAAAAATTGGTTTCATATTACAGTTTTGTCTGTTAAAATATTAATTTAACAATACATTGTATAAGTAGTGTAACAGGAGAAAAAGAAATGCAACAGCCAGACTAAGGATCGAACCCGGATGAATCCTCAGAACTCTAGATGGGTCGACACTCTACCAATTGAGCTACTCGGGTCGCTGATGATCAATCCAGTCCTGTTCTGCTACATTATTATATCCACCAAATTACTATGTCGTGAACTCAAGCAGCTCCCCATACCAAAATTCACACTAGTCATTAAAGGATATTATAGATCATTGATGAATGATATCTATTTCATGATATAGTAGATTTCACTCATATATTCCAAAGTTTTCTTTTAGCTCTTACTTCCTAGTTATTGGTTTTATCGCATTTCAAAAGACTAAATATTCCAGAAATTCTTTAGTTTTTAGCTCACCTGGCACGAAGTGCCAAGTGAGCTTATGCCGTGGCACGGCGTCCGTTGTCCGGCCGGCCGGCCGGCGTCTGACGTCAATATTTTACTTAAAACGACTTCTTCTTAATAACCAAAAGGCCTAGGGTGATGATATTTGACCAGAAGCAAACTTGGATGAAGGGCTACAATGTTTGTTAAAATTAATGACCTTCACCCGTTTTCAAGGTCACAGGGATCAAATATGTTAAAAACTTTAAACATCTTCTTCTAGATAACCAAACTGTCCAGGGAGGTGTTATTTGGACAGTAGCATGCTTGGGTGAAGGGCTACCAAGTTTGTTCAAATGAATGACCTTCAATCATATTCAAGGTCACAGGGGTCAATTGTCTTAAAAAATCTTTAAACAACTTCTTCTGAATAACCAAAATGCACATGGTGATGATATTTGGCCAGTAGCATGCTGAAATGAAGGGCTACAAAGTTTGTTTAAATGAATGACTTACACCCATATTCAAGGTCACAGGGGTCAAATATGTAAAAATCTTCAAACAACTTCTTCTCGATAACCAAAATGCCCAGGGTGATGATATTTGGCCAGTTGCATGCTGGGTTAAAGGGCTATCAAGTTTGTTAAAATGAATGACCTTGACCTATATTCAAGGTCACAGGGGTCAAATATGTTCAAAACATTAAACAATTTCTCCTGAATAACTAAAATGCCCAGGGTGATGATATTTGGCCAGTAGCATGCTGAGATGAAGGGCTACAAAGTTTGTTCAAATGAATGACCTTCACCCATATTCAAGGTCACAGGGGTCAAATATGTTAAAAACTTTAAACAACTTCTTCTGAATAACCAAAATGCCCAGGGTGATGATATTTGGCCAGTAGCATGCTGAGATGAAGGGCTACAAAGTTTGTTCAAATGAATGACCTTCACCCATATTCAAGGTCACAGGGGTCAAATATGTTAAAAACTTTAAACAACTTCTTCTGAATAACCAAAATGCCCAGGGTGATGATATTTGGCCAGTAGCATGCTGAGATGAAGGGCTACAAAGTTTGTTCAAATGAATGACCTTCACCCATATTCAAGGTCACAGGGGTCAAATATGTTAAAAACTTTAAACAACTTCTTCTGAATAACCAAAATGCCCAGGGTGATGATATTTGGCCAGTAGCATGCTGAGATGAAGGGCTACAAAGTTTGTTCAAATGAATGACCTTCACCCATATTCAAGGTCACAGGGGTCAAATATGTTAAAAACTTTAAACAACTTCTTCTGAATAACCAAAATGCCCAGGGTGATGATATTTGGCCAGTAGCATGCTGAGATGAAGGGCTACAAAGTTTGTTCAAATGAATGACCTTCACCCATATTCAAGGTCACAGGGGTCAAATATGTTAAAAACTTTAAACAACTTCTTCTGAATAACCAAAATGCCCAGGGTGATGATATTTGGCCAGTAGCATGCTGAGATGAAGGGCTACAAAGTTTGTTCAAATGAATGACCTTCACCCATATTCAAGGTCACAGGGGTCAAATATGTTAAAAACTTTAAACAACTTCTTCTGAATAACCAAAATGCCCAGGGTGATGATATTTGGCCAGTAGCATGCTGAGATGAAGGGCTACAAAGTTTGTTCAAATGAATGACCTTCACCCATATTCAAGGTCACAGGGGTCAAATATGTTAAAAACTTTAAACAACTTCTTCTGAATAACCAAAATGCCCAGGGTGATGATATTTGGCCAGTAGCATGCTGAGATGAAGGGCTACAAAGTTTGTTCAAATGAATGACCTTCACCCATATTCAAGGTCACAGGGGTCAAATATGTTAAAAACTTTAAACAACTTCTTCTGAATAACCAAAATGCCCAGGGTGATGATATTTGGCCAGTAGCATGCTGAGATGAAGGGCTACAAAGTTTGTTCAAATGAATGACCTTCACCCATATTCAAGGTCACAGGGGTCAAATATGTTAAAAACTTTAAACAACTTCTTCTGAATAACCAAAATGCCCAGGGTGATGATATTTGGCCAGTAGCATGCTGAGATGAAGGGCTACAAAGTTTGTTCAAATGAATGACCTTCACCCATATTCAAGGTCACAGGGGTCAAATATGTTAAAAACTTTAAACAACTTCTTCTGAATAACCAAAATGCCCAGGGTGATGATATTTGGCCAGTAGCATGCTGAGATGAAGGGCTACAAAGTTTGTTCAAATGAATGACCTTCACCCATATTCAAGGTCACAGGGGTCAAATATGTAAAAAACTTTAAACAACTTCTTCTGAATAACCAAAATGCCCAGGGTGATGATATTTGGCCAGTAGCATGCTGAGATGAAGGGCTACAAAGTTTGTTCAAATGAATGACCTTCACCCATATTTAAGATCACAGGTGTTAAATATGTTAAAAACTTTTAAACAACTTCTCCTGAATAACTAAAATGCACAGGGTGATGATATTTGGCCAGTAGCATGCTGAGATGAAGGGCTACAAAGTTTGTTCAAATGAATGACCTTCACCCATATTTAAGGTCAAATGGGTCAAATATGTTAAAAACTTTAAACAACTTCTTCTGAATTACCAAAAATGCCCAGGGTGATGATATTTAGTCAGTAGCATACTAGGATCAAGGGCTACCAAGTTTGTTTAAATGTATGACCTTGAATCATATTCAAGGTCACAAGGTGCAAATATGTTCATTTTTTTTGTTTTTTAAACAGCTTGTTCTGAATAACCAAAAGGCTCAGGATGTTGATATTTAGTCAGTANTGCAAATATGTTCATTTTTTTTGTTTTTTAAACAACTTGTTCTGAATAACCAAAAGGCTCAGGATGTTGATATTTAGTCAGTAGCATGCTGGGATCAAGGACTACTATGTTTGTTAAAGTGAATGACTTTGACTTATATTCAAGGTCACAGGGGTCAAATATGTTTAAATCTTTAAACGACCTCTTCTGAATAACCATGGGTCCCAGGATGTTGATACTTTGCAAGTTGCATCCTCAAATGAAAGGCTATAAAATTTGTTCAACATAATGACTTTGTTCGACTTTCAATCACAGGGGTGAAATGTTTAAAAAAAAGGTAACAGGTTCTTTTGAATGAATTTTAATCATAACAGATATTTTATTTTGCCTGTAGCTTTATTTTAGATCACTTTTAAGGTTACAAGTGTGAGATTTATACCAGGTGAGCGATGCAGGCCCATTGGGCCTCTTGTTTTTAAACACAATCAAGTGTTCCAACTCATCATTTTAATGCAGCATTGATCATTAATGCTTGTTATGATGTCATTTCTATTTTCTTAATTTTGACTTGTGTCACAACGGACAAAGCTGCCAACCCTCAATCATATGGGAGACTCCCTCATTTTGACCAAAATTTACCAATTTCCCTCGAAACTCCCTCTGACATTCAAGTCCAAACTCACACAAAGTCAAAATCTACATTCTGTTGTCAAATGATCTTCTGGTTACTGCAGGGTGTGTGCAATGACCATAACAAGTGTGTCTGAATCAAATAAATGCTTTCTTGAGTTATTTTGATACATAAAAATGGAAAGATAAATTGAGCAAAGCAGTTTCAGTGGCATTTCACACACTTTCTCCCTCATTGGAAATGTGGAATGAGGGAGATCTCCCTCATTGGAGGTTTCAGAGGTTGACATATAAGCAATGGATACAGATTTATATGACATTAGATGATATGCAAAAAATGACATGAGTGTTTTTAATACATAACATGACCGCTTTGTGATAAAATTACTTACTCATTGTTGTTATGCACAGGTAAAGAACTTAAATAAACTTAATTGATAATCAGAATTTTATCCTGTTCTAGCAGGTGAAGGGTTTGCAGACTGATGCATTTGTTAAAGAATTAAGACAAGAACAGCATGGTGGTGGTTGTGTCACCAACAGACGTAGCAGAAGGAGAGGACCAGATCGATGGACTCGGATCTGAACCATCATCTGGTGCTTCTGGCTCATCAAATACAAACTGGAATCAGAGGAGAACAAAAGAAGATGAAGGGGATTTGAAATTTGAGTTTAATCGCTTGGAGACATTCCTGTTCTGGCCCGTGAATTCGGCCGTCAGTGCTGAGGCTCTTGCACTCGATGGATTTTACTTTTTTGGACCAGCTGGCCAGGATCGGGTCCGTTGTGTGTTCTGTGAGGTGGTTCTCAAAGACTGGGAACCTGGTGATATTGTCTCGGACGACCACAAGAAATTTTCTGTTGGCTGTCCGTTTAAATGTCAGGCAAATGTGGGTAATGTTCCATTCTATGGGCCACGTATCAGTGAATGGAATCCTTACAACTACCAAATGGTAAGCTGGAAGGAAAGATTGCTATCTTTTCAACAGTGGCCCAAAGCTTTGGCACAGAAACCGAGGGTGTTAGCAGCTGCAGGATTCTATTACAAAGGTATTACTAGTAATTTCTCATCATAAATATATCAAAGTACTCACTTTTATATACAAACATCTGTTAATGAAAGTAACACATATCATAAGAAACATGAAAATAAACTCTTACAAGTGATAATCAGTGATTAATCTAGGAATTTCTAATAATGGGTCACTGACCCACTATATACATCTGAAAGTAATGAGTAATTTTTTTAATTTTACTTTTCTGTGGGTTATAATATTTTTAACTGTTCACTGTAATATAAATGGATCGTAAAACTTGAATGATTGATTATGAAATGGGTTTTTTTCTTCTTCATTTTTCTTCATTTTTTTTGAGGGGGGAGGGGGGGGGGGGGACAACGTTGCATATGAACCAGAGTATTACAAAGGAAGATGAATTTAGCTAGGTAATGCTTTTGATAATAATTGAGGTAAAACTTAAGGGAGATAAGTCTAACAGAACCCGTGTGTATAATGGGTATTAATGAGACATACAACCTTAAGTTACTTACGAGCTTGATCATGGTAGAGATATAGGTAAGGAACCGTCAGTCACTGGTATCTGATATGTTATCTCAGACATTCATGTACATACGTGTGACATCATAATGTGTATGACATTGAAATGTTACTGACATGGTATATATAATTGCACCAGCTTCATGTTGGGAAAAGGATGCATTCCTGATCAATGCAAATAATTAAAAGTGCCAGTTTCTTTTAGAATACATTTTTGGTATAAAGAAATTTTGATGAATTTAAGATATATCAGCATTACCATACCACAAGAGGTAACGTAACCAATTCCCCTCAGCAAACTGATCAATTGCACGTAGGAAGTGTTTTCCAGATGTAACCCAAACTGGCTGTTAAATCAGCTATCAATGAGGTGGGCTTATTGCTGAAAATGGGGATTATTTCTGTTTTCTGAAGGTCGTGGCGACATTGTGCAATGCTTCTGCTGTGGAGGAATAGTGAAACTTTGGCTAGCCACAGATGACCCATGGCTGGAGCACATGAGACATTTTCCTACATGTTTCCATATTCAAGAAAACATTGCTTACCATAAAATACCAACATCTTATCACATGAGGCCACCTTCTCCACAACTGCACAGCCAACTAGCACACGCTGCAGCGGCACCAGCCGCCAGGCCTAAAACATTACATCGCTCTACGTCAGAGATTGCCCTGGATATGGGATACAGACGTGACCTCATAACAATATATAGGCAGTATCTTGGGAAGCATGGCAGTAAGTAATAACTTCCTTTGTTTGGCTTTCTGTATCAAGAAAATTATACATTTGAAATAGGCTATTTGAGTTTTTACTTTTTTAATGATTGCATAATTACTACCATAATTTTCAGAAAAACTCAATTTTCAGAAATATTTAAGAGTTGAAATACATGTTTTCAACATTTATGAGCACTGTAAAATGTTTGAATATTCCATTATGTGTGGTTGCGCATCATTCACTCCTGAAATTTCATAATGAACTATTTTATCCTGTGAATTGAAAGACTTCAAATGTGTTTTCAGGGGTGAATGAGTTAATGTTAAAAAAAAATGTTGCAATCCTTACATTTTTACTTACACTCAAAACAACAAAGACAATAATATTTTATCATTCTTTGTTGTCTCATTTGGTTCAAAACACATTTTAAAAGACTGTTTTTACTAAATGATTGGTGAATTTCTGTTATAATTTGATTTGGAAGTCATGACATCACAATTGGTCCACTGATAACCCAAACACTTTAACAGAGAGACCTGAACAGTTTCCCATGTGTAATGGTTCGTGCTGTTATTGGGTGATTACCACCTTTGTGGTTGGTATCAAGGTGTATCTAAGGACTGTACCAAGGAAAATTTAATAACTCATAATGGACATATCTATTTTTTAGCCAACCACCAAAACAATAAAGATCATCAGATAGTGTACTGATGGGATCTCTCAAGTTTCATATTTAAGTCCCAGATTGTTCTTTGTTGTGTGTGTTTCATTAAATTCAGAGCGGTTATAAAAACAAAATGTCCACCAGGCAGCCATCTTGGATTTTGAAGGTTTGAGTTTGTTATCCTTATTTGGCACGAAGAATCTGACAAGTCACTGGTTTCTTTTGCTCAGTTTTACAGCCAAATACAGGCTGTTTTCCCTAGCTAAAAAGTGCCTTAATTTCCCAAAATGACAAAAATGAGGTATATATTACCAATTTCAATAACAAATAATGCTATATTTTCCCAATTCATATTGGAACAGGCTGTTGTAAAGTTCAGGTAAAAAACACTGGACAAATCTTCCTCAAAGATCAAATGAAAGTTCCTCTAACTTGTAACATACTTTGTGCTTTGCTAGTAAAGAGGTCAAATAACAACCTCACGTTGGAAGAACAAACGAATGTCATAAACAGCAGAATGAAGCTTTGATCAAAAGTTACCACAAGGTGCATTTACTATTTACATGTCCTCCTTCAACAGATAAGATATGAATGAGACAGAAAAGATCAATCTTACATAGAGCAAATACAGATGGTGCAATGCTTGATGCTAAGATCCCTTTGGGATCTCTTGTATGGTCATATAAGTTGAATGATCTCTAGAAATATGAAAAAAGTAGCACCTTTATAAAAATTTGTTGACTATAATTAATGCAGATAGCAGGATCATATGATTTTTTTTATGCCATATTATTATTCCATCCAATTGGGTTTCATCAGTGCTACCACTGGTGATAAGGTGGCACATCGGATAGCGCACTTACCTTTTACCAAGGTAGCCGGGGTCCGATTCCCTTTATTGTACATGAAAGGGTAATGGGTCACTTGCACAACTACGAATGTTGGTATTTTTGTTTCCTCCCACATTAAGACCCACTTCAGCAAACATCTGGGCCAACAAGAATGATTATTAAAAGTTTTATTTACTTGAAAATGAAAATAGAAATGATGAGCAACAACACCACTGAATCCGGTTACAAAATGTAATGTTTGATTTACATCCTAAGTGCTGACATGTATCGGCCAAAGGGAGGCTGTCTTCAGAGCACAGTTACATGATGTTTGGTACTATGGTACAATGACAATAAAGGTCATGTGACTAGAACAATAAAGAATAACTGTGACGTCATCAAGTTGCTAAGAGTTACAGACTGGTAGGGTGAAAAAGTTTAGACATTTTTGATTGGTGCATAATAGAATAAGTGCTAAATAATTTCAGTATGAATATAGATTATATAAAAATATCATAGTAAATGTGAATGAATGAATTGTAGTATTACAGTATTTCCAATGCAAGAGATGATTAAAGGAACAGAAATAAGGGATAGTATAAACATGAAATTAAAGGTATCAAAAGTGCTCAAACAAGCAAAACTCTTATGGTTGCTTATTTACTTGTTTCTTAATTGTTGTAAAATAAATAAAACACATATATATCAGTGTTACTACAGGTCAAAAGGATGAATATCTGAATCTAGTGTGTGCTGAAACATTCTGAAAGTGTCTATAAAACTCTGTATCACATATGTTGCAGGTGTACAATTTTATTTATACAATAGACAATTTACTCCTTAGAAAAACAAGCATTTGATCTGAAAAAAACACTCCTATTTTGTTTAGACTTTTGTAATGGCTGAATGCATATATACTGAACAAAAAAAGAAAAGCACAATTAAATTATGCAATCATATATAGCCTATGATATTTTGGGAAATTTGTACAATATTTTATATCAATATGAAGGGACAAGTCTACTCTTTACAATACTGTAGAAGAAAAGTCTGTGTGACGTCACTCGTGTCATCAGTAGTTACTCAAAGTGGGATACCCGCGAAAAACAAAATGACACTTCTGAGTACCTGGTGTGGGCACCTTTTGCACGAATCCCTGCACGGATTCTCCTATGCATTGAATTCATGAGAACATTTATTCGCCTTAAGGGAATGTTGTTCCATTCTTGTGTTAATGCTGCGATCAACTGGGCGTGGTTAGTTGNAAATTAGGTTATGACGTCTGAGAAGTGGAAGGACATGTGGTTGGAGGATCTGGTCTCTGTATCGAACGGCATTGAGGTTTTGATCCAGGACCACTAAGGGGGATTTTACTCCATGGGAGATGCCTCCCCAAACCATTACAGAAGCCCCACCGAATCTATCGCGTTCAACCACGCATGCGTCGGCAAAACGCTCACTGCGTCTGCGATATACCCTTTTTCTTCCGTCTGAGCGATACAGACAGAATCTAGACTCGTCGGTGAACATCACACGCCTCCATCGACGCATCCCAAACCTATTCGGGCCATGTCTGCGCATCCAGTCAAGACGCACTTGCCACCTCCGTGGTGTCAGAGGTGGCCCGACATAAGGTCGACGCGCAATGATTCTCTCGGCACGCAAGTGGTTCCTGGCAGTTTGAGGACTAATGGGTCTGCCATGAGTACCTAAGGTATGCGACTCAGTCTCTACAGCAGTCTTGAATCTGTTGTGCAAGTGCGACAATCGAATCGCCCTGTCTTGTCGTGCGGTCGTTACACACAGACGACCGCTCCTGGGACGATCGGAAACTAACCCAGTAGCACGGAAACGTGAACAGAGACGGTTAATTGTACATGGGTCAACACCAAACTGCCGTGTGACAGCAGTTTGGCTATGACCATCCATCAACATCGCAATTGCTCTACCCCTCTGAATTTGCATTAAGCGTGGCATCTCAGTCAATGGCGAAATCAAAATGCCAACGTGGAAAATTAATGTGGCTTAACTTAGAGTAGCCGTTGAGATTATTTGTTTGAAAAACTCCGGCTTGGCTTGATCACGCCGCGTGATTTGGACTAAAGAAGCTCACAAAGTCACACAATGACAT